AATGAAGGTGGATATAAGACTCAATGAAAACAAAATTATCTATCAACTCCAAACAAGCCCCAACTTGTCACTAATCTATTTTTGGTCTGTACTTCAATTAACTGGGTTTTTGCTTGATTGTCATATTTATTCTCTCACTGAATTAATGTCAAATCTTAACTTCTTAATCTAAAATTTTATTTTGCTACACTGCTAATTTTAAAGCTCATTAAAAATTAACACAAAACATGACATAACTACAAATTGTTATTGCTTATGACTACAGAATACTATCACACAACCTGGCAATGATTAAAGAATGAATGAATGGAGAAGAAACACCAACAGATGCTATTCAAAGGTACATGTGGGATACAGACCTTGTCTCAAAGCACCTCCCTGAAATTACTCATCAACCACATGGAAAAAGTAACTTTACAGAGGAGAAGCCTGCAGACACTATCTTAACAAAACAGTATACCACCAGACAGGATCTAGAGAACACACCACCACTTCTACATTATATCTGCAAAAAGTATAACCTGAATCCATCAGGAAGAATCATCGGGCAAACCAAACTGAAGAACATTCTACATACAATATACTGGCCAATACAGCAGCCACCAGCACATATAGTGAAGTACTTGCTATGAAGAAGTGCTGTAAATATAAAATATACACTGGATTTCAAAGACAACATAAAAAAATGTACAACAGCTCATTGTTATTTGATAATATGTTGAAATGATATTTGGGATATGACATTCACATGTTTCTTTCAACCTTTTTTCACATGGCTACTAGAACTTACTACATTTGTGGCTGGCATTATTGCTTCTATCACACAGTGCTAATCTGCTAAGTAACCTATAATCATCAAAAGTCAAGGAAAGGCTGAGGAATTATTTCCAACTAAAGGAGCCTTACGAGAGGTACATAATAACTAATGCCACATAGACCTGAGGTTGATTCACTGCTAAAATGGACAACATTGAGACAACTGGAGAACTCGGATGGGGTCTGTGGATTAGATAGTGGTGGTTTATCATTGTTAATATCCTGAACTTCAACGGATAAACAGTATAATAAAAATCACAGTATAAACTGTGGTTACTTAGCAGAATGTCCTTGGTAGAAGGAAAGAACTTGGTGGTGACAGAGCATATGACTGGTAACTACTCTCAAATGATTGTGGGGGAAGTTAGTTCTTTGCACTATTCTTACAACTTTCCCGTGAGTTTGGATTTACTTCAAGATAAAAAACTTAATAAACGCTGGCGGAGAATTCCTAAAACCTTTGGCATTTCCTAAGTGTAAGAGTGATAGAAGTAGCCTGTGCTCTAATGAAGCAACTCTTACAACATCCCTCAACAGCGTCAGGATGGGACCTGATCACCAGAAAAGACCAAGCCTTGATTAGAAGCCTGGAACTTTCAGCCCCATACCCAATTTCTGGAGAGGGCCTGGAGACTGAGTCAATCACCACTGATTCGCTCACAAATGACTTAAATGACCTAATCACCCATGCCTGTGTAATGAAACCTTCATAAAAATCCCTGTGTGATGAAATTCAGGGAGATTCCAGGACAGCAAACACATCAAAATGCTAGGAGGGAAAATCACCCAGAAAGAGCATGGATGCTCCACAGCTCCCCACCAGCCATACCCTGCACTATGTATCTCTTCCATCTGGCAGTTTCTCAGTTGTATCTGAAGTGTTGTCTGGAGTTCGATAAGCCATTTTAACAAATTACTGAACCTGATGTGGGAGTTATGGGGATGCCTGACTTACAGTCAGCCAGTCAAAAGCACAAGTGGCCTGTGACAACTGGCATCAGAACTGAGGTAGTCCTGTGGGGG